CTCTCTGAAAAAGTAAACGTTGACGTGTGTCTTTGAACTCCAATATCTTCGTGAGTTTAAAACTTATGTTCGTGTATTTCTTTATGGAGAGAAAAAAAAATGCATGTTTGTTCACGTGCGTGTGCTTCTCACGCATCGCCAAGTTGTTCAGTGCAATACTGTTTGCAAAGGAGGCAAAAGCAGGTTAAATCACCATTGCTATTTAGTTCGTATATCTGTCTACCTGTCTGTTTCCTCTTTGATTGAAAATACCGACAGACAAACAGACACAGATATTCACCCCCTACCTAAGACAGACAGATAGACAGACACACAGACAGACACACACACACACAAATCAAACATCGATCCACAAAGGAGGGTTTTAATGCGCTGGAGAAGGGGGGGTGAGAGAGAGAGAGAAAAAAATAAATAAATAAAATAAAAGCATAAAAAACTAAAAAATAAAAATCTTACATATTCATTTGATATAAAAAAAAAAGCAGTTAAGAAGCAAAACGAAAAACAAGAAATCGCATAATTTGGATAAAAGTCTTTTTAAAAAATCGCATAATCATAAAGAAAGGAAAATTTAAAAATACAAGAAAATAAAAAAGTTGCATAATTTCCAGAAAACTCTTTAGGAGCAAGTGGCGAGCAGAAACCATAAGGCAGATGTTCAGCAGAAGAAGAAGAAGAAGAAGAAGAGAAGGAAGAGGAATAGAAGTTGAAGAAGAGAAATATGAAGAGGAAGAGGAAGAAAAGAAGAAGACGAATAAGAATGAGAAGAAGAAGAAGAAGAAAAAGATGAAGATGAAGAAGAAGAAAAAGAAAAAAAGGAGGAGGAGGGGGAGGAAGAGGAAGAAAGAAGAAGAGGAAGAAGAAGAAGAAGAAGAAGAAGAAGAAGAAGAAGAAGAAGAAGAAGAAGAAGAAGAAGAAGAAGAGAAGAAGAAGAAGAAGAAGAAGAAGAAGAAGAAAAGAAAAAGAAAAAGAAAAAGAAAAAGAAAAAGAAAAAGAAAAAAAAAAAAAAACTCGAAATGTTCCCCAATTTGCGCTAAGCGACGGAACGAGCGAACGACCTTGAGCTCGTCTAGGGCGTTTAATGACCCATACTTGCCCCTTAAAGATTCCAGGGCGGCGGCGGGAGTGAGAGAGCGAAGAGAAGAGAAGGCGGAGGAGAGAAAGAACAGAGGGATATAATGATATAATCCGAGACTAGCGGAGGAAACTGTGATTATGTTGTTAGATTTACTCTCTCTCTCTCTCTGAAAAAGTAAACGTTGACGTGTGTCTTTGAACTCAATATCTTCGTGAGTTTAAAACTTATGTTCGTGTATTTCTTTATGGAGAGGAAAAAAAAAAAACGAAAGATGAAAACAAAACTCAACGTTCTATAAACCTACAAAGAAATTGCAAACGGGCGATACTCCTCAGCCTGCCACGCGGAAGCAGATGGAAGCAGTTGCAAGCAAGGCAAGAACGCAAAGGCTAAGATCTAGCGTAGTCGGGAACGCAGCATGATGGCGCTCTCTCTCTCTCTCTCTCTCTCTCTCCTCTCTCTCTCTCTCTTCTCTCTCTCTCTCTTCTCTCTCTCTCTCTCTCTTCTCTCTCTCTCTCTCTCCTCTCTCTCTCTCTCCTCTCTCCCTCTTTCTTAATCCTCGCCATCTCTCCCTCCCCTCTCCTTTTTCCTCTCCCCCTTCCTTACCCCTCCCCATCTCTCCCTCTTTCCCCATTCTTCCCTCACTCTCATCCCCCTCTCCCTCTCTCTTCACCCTCACTCCTCTCCCTTATCCCTTACCCCTCACCATCTTTCCCTCTCCCCCTCTCCCTTTCCCCTCACCATCTCTCACTCTTTCCCCCCTCTCCCCTAACTATCTCAGCTTTGTTCTTGGCACCATCATCTGCATCTTGCCGGTGGTGCCATCTGCGTACGGTGCCATCTGCTAAGGGGTTGAGTCAAGCCGTGTGATTCAGTGACAACAATAAGAAGAATGAAATTGAAAATAGTGATGTTGAATAGGCCTATGTCAGTATTAATGCTGGTTGTGGATTGTTGTAACGATGATGTTGATAATGGTGATAATGATGGTGGTGGTGATTGATGATGGTGATTGATGATGGTGATGATGATGATGGTGATGATGTTGATAATGGTGGTGGTGATGGTGGTGGTGTTGATGGTGATGATGATTTAACAATAAAACAGTAATATTAGTAAAAAGAAAAAAAAATTATCCTCGTCATTATCACAAGAAACATCCTCACCATCATTATCACAATAATCATCACCATCATCCTACCACAGCCATTCAAATCTATCATTATCATCATCATCATCATCATCATTATCAGTATAAAAAAAAAAACAAAAAAAAAAACGAAAGGTGAAAACAAACTCAAAGTTCTATAAACCTGCAAAGAATTGCAAACGGCGATACTCCTCGGCCTGCCACGCGGAAGCAGATGGAAGCAGTTGCAAGCAAGGCAAGCACGCAAGCTAAGATCTAGGCCGTAGTCGGGAACGCACGCATGATGGCGCTCTCTCTCTCTCTCTCGTCTGTCACCATATGAATTATTCTCGAGATGCTGCTTCTCTCTCTCTCTCTCTCTCTCTCTCTCTCTCTCTCTCTCTCTCTCTCTCTCTCTCTCTCTCTCTCTCTCTCTCGTCCTTGCTCTTATTATTGTTCTTTGTCGCTGTCGCTCTCTCTCTCTCTTTCTTTCTCTCGTTCTCTCTTTCTTTCTATCTATCTATCTATCTATCTATCTATCTATCTATCTATCTATCTATCTATCTTTCTCTCTCTCTCTCTCTCGTCCTTGCTCTTATTATTGTTCTTTGTCGCTGTCGCTCTCTCTCTCTCTCTCTCTCTCTCTCTCTCTCTCTCTCTCTCTCTCTCTCTCTCTCTCCCTCCCTCCCCCCCTCCTTCCAATCCTTGAACTGCCCTCTCCTCGCCGTCATCAGAGTTCGACCAACACCTGCTCAGCAATAATCAATGGTAAGTACATACCCCAACCCCCCTCTACACTTCCCCCTTCTCCCCTCCCCTTTCCCCTCCCCTCCCCTCCCCACTCCCCCCTTCTCCCCTCCCCTCCCCACTCCCCCCTTCTCCCCTCCCTTCCCCACTCCCCTCTTCTCCCTTCCCTTCCCCACTTCCCCCTTCTCCCCTCCCCTCCCCACTCCCCCCTTCTCCCCTCCCCTTCCCACTTCCCCCTTCTCCCCTCGCCTCCCCACTCCCCCCTTCTCCCCTCCCCTTCCCACTTCCCCCTTCTCCCCTCGCCTCCCCACTCCCCCCTTCTCCCCTCCCCTCCCCACTCCCCCCTTCTCCCCTCCCCACGCCCTCCTTCCTTTCCCCTCTCTATACTCCCTTTCCCTTTTCTATATCTCCCCTTGTATCTCCCTTCCTTTTCTCGTACCTTTTCCTTCGTCCCCTCTCGAACTCTCCCCCCCCCCCACACACATAAGTTCCCCCCCTCCCCTCCCCTTCCCTTCCCTCTTTCCCCCTCTCGACCCTTATACTTTATCCCCCTCCTTTCCTTTTCCCCTTCTTCCATTCTCACCCCTTCCCTTCCATTCACCTTTTTCCACCTTCCCCTCCTCCCCTTTATCACGTCCCCTTCTCATTTCTCTCTTTATCGCATCCCCTCTCACGTCCCCCCCACCCCCACCCACCCTCCAACCTCTCCCTAGCCCCCTCCCTCCTCCCCCCGTCCTCCCTCCCTCCGCCTCAGTCCCTCCCCCTCCCCCTCCCCCCCATCCGCCCATAGTCCACGCCCCTGCCACTCGCTCCCCATAAAGTAGGGTTCAAAGCCGTAGTCGTCAATAACAAGAAAAAAAATATAAAAAACAATTTTAGAAGGTGATGGGGAGGGGAGGGAGGGAAGGAGGGAGGGGAAGGGAGGGAAGGGGGAGGGGAGGGAAGGGGAGGAGAGGGAGGGGAAGAGTAAAGGCGGAAAGCGAGGGAAGGAGAGAAAAAAAAAAAAAAAAAAAAAAAAAAAAAAAAAAAAAAAAAACAGAAAGAAGACGAAGAAGATAGAGGAGGAGGAGGAGCAGGAGGAGGAGGAGGAAGGTAAGCCCGAAGAGAAAGGGGGAAAGAGAAGGAAGAAGAGAAGAAAAAAAGAGGAATAATAATAATAATAACAATAAAATAAACCTCAGAAAGAAGAGGGCATAACCCAAAGAGTCAACAAACCCAGCCCGGCGAACCATTTGCTCCAGAACCCGACCTTGCGCTGAACAACACACTAAGTCTCTCCGGGAAATTGCGCCGGATCTCAAAATATTTGCGCGAGACGGCGATGGAGAAAGATGGAGAGAGTCTAATTAAAAAAAAAAAAAAAAAAAAAAAAAAAGAGAGAGAGAGAGAGAGAAAAAAAGGCCTTAGACATTTTACAGGGAACAATGCTTCATTATGCTTCGGGGGAGGGGAGGGGAGGGGAGGGGGAGAGGGAGGAGGGAGAGGGAGGGGGAGAGGAGAGGAAGAGGGAGAGGGAGAGAGAGAAGAAAGAAGAGAGAGAAGAAAGAGGAGAGAAGAAAGAAGAGAAAAAGAAAGAAAAGAAAGAGAGAGAAGAAAAAAGAAAGAAGACAGACAGACAGACAGACATAAGCGAGAAACGAGAGATCCACAAGACAAGAAATATAGCCGAGAGTTGGATGCGTAGCGACCGTCCCCGCTGCCGTAACTAGCCCTGGCATCTTAATAAATGTTTCATCGTGTTTACGCATCTCTGTATATCCCCGAGATAGACTTCTCAAGGCGTGTTTGACGAGGGCGCCTCCAGTGCGTGTGTCAAAAGTAATAAAACATGTGTTAAAAAAGTATATGGTGCGCGAGCGTGTGTGTTTGTTTGTTTGTGCGTGCGTGCGTGTGTTTGCATACTTGATTTTCGGCGAGTGTGTGCGTGCGTGCGTGTGTTTGCATACATGGGTTTAGGCGAGTGTGTGCGTGCGCGCGTGTGTGTCTCTATATGTAGACGGGTGAATGAATGACCCTAATAATGAATTGAGCACACCCTTATACCAGAGAACACCCTTACACCACCAAGCACACCCTTACACCACAGAACACGCCCTCATACCACAGAACACACCCTTACACCACAGAACACGTCCCTATAGCACCCAGCACACCACCTTACACCACAGAACACGTCCCTATAGCACCCAGCACACCACCTTACACCACAGAACACGCCCTCATACCACAGAACACACCCTTACACCACAGAACACGCCCTCATACCACAGAACACACCCTTACACCACAGAACACGTCCCTTTACCACCCAGCACACCACCTTACACCATAGAACACGCCCTCATACCACAGAACACGTCCCTATAGCACCCAGCACACCACCTTACACCACAGAACACGCCCTCATACCACAGAACACGTCCCTATACCACCCAGCACACCACCTCATACCACAGAACACGTCCCTATACCACCCAGCACACCACCTTACACCACAGATCACGCCCTCATACCACAGGACACACCCTTACACCACAGAACACGTCCCTATACCATCCAGCACACCACCTTACACCACAGAACACGCCCTCATACCACAGAACACACCCTTACACCACAGAACACGTCCCTATACCACCCAGCACACCACCTTACACCACAGATCACGCCCTCATACCACAGAACACACCCTTACACCACAGAACACGTCCCTATACCACCCAGCACACCACCTTACACCACAGAACACGCCCTCATACCACAGAACACACCCTTACACCACAGAACACGTCCCTATACCACCCAGCACACCACCTTACACCACAGAACACGTCCCTATACCCCCATATACGCACTTCAGCAAACTTACAAGTCAGTCCCACTCGGATGGTAACTAGCAAGGGAAGGTGGGCAGTTTGCCAGCAGGTGAGCGCAAGGGGGGAGGGGGCGGGGGAAAGAGGGGTGGAGGGGGGACTTAATTCTGCAAATCAACCACAGTCCAAGTGAATGAAGCAACCCCCCCCTCCTTTCCCCCTCCCCATCACCCCCGTCACTTCTATCTCTCTCTTTCTCTTTCTCTTTCTCTTTCTCTCTCTCTCTCTCTTACTCTGTTATCTGTTTTTTGTTTTTTCTTCGTCTATCTTTCTTGTTGTGTTTTGATAGTTTGATAGTTTCTTGTCTCTTTTATAATCCCTTTGAATTATTATATATTTTTCTCTCTCCCCCACTTGGCATATTCTATCACGAGGTCCCCCCCCCCTCCCTCATCTGCCCCCTTCACCCCCCCTCCCCCCCTCCTCCTCCTTAATCCAACATGGCGCCTTTCCCAATCTTCGACTAAACTTCCAACTTCCTTCTATTGTCTCGTCGTAAAAAAAAAACAAAGAAAGAAAAAAATAAAATAAAAACAGAACTGCTGCTCATTTTCTTTACGAGCTTTGTTTGTTTTTTGTTAATAGTGCAACATGCTCCGTTAAGACTTAGCAAGCAAGCAAGCAAGCAAGCAAACAAGCAATTCATCTTCACATTCACTCTCAATACAACAAATAACAAACACAAACAAACTAACTCCACCGAGAATGAAAATGAGGAGAGAGGGAGACGAGAAGGAGAAGAAAAAAAAGAAAACAGTAAAAAACAGAGACGAGAAGGAGAAGAAAAAAAAAGAAAACAGTAAAAAACAGAAGGAAAAAAAAGGGAGAGAAACAGGAAGAGGGAGAATGCGAACAACAACGGTTTGTTTGCAATATCAACAAAAGCAATTCCTGGCTTCCAAGGCTTCCAAAATACGTAATATGATTTTTGTTGCTCTCTCTCTCTCTCTCTCTCTCTCTCTCTCTCTCTCTCTCTCTCTCTCTCTCTCTCGCCTCTCTCTCTTTCTCATTTACCTCTGTCTCTCTCTCTCCTTCTCTCGTCTCTCTCTCTTTCTTTCGTCTCTCTCTCTCTCTTTCGTCTCTCTCTCTCATACCTACCTCTTTCTCTCGTTTTTTTCTCTCTCTCTCTCTCGTAACTAACTCTCTCTCACGTATCTACCTCTCTCTCTTTTTCGTATCTACCTCTCTCTCTCTTTCGTATCTACCTCTCTCTCTCTTTCGTATGTACCTCTCTCTCTCTTTCGTATCTACCTCTCTCTCTCTTTCGTATCTACCTCTCTCTCTCTCTTTCGTATCTACCTCTCTCTCTCTCTTTCGTATCTACCTCTCTCTCTCTCTTTCGTATCTACCTCTCTCTCTCTCTTTCGTATCTACCTCTCTCTCTCTCTTTCGTATCTACCTCTCTCTCTCTCTTTCGTATCTACCTCTCTCTCTCTTTCGTATCTACCTCTCTCTCTCTTTCGTATCTACCTCTCTCTCTCTTTCGTATCTACCTCTCTCTCTCTTTCGTATCTACCTCTCTCTCTCTTTCGTATCTACCTCTCTCTCTCTCTTTCGTATCTACCTCTCTCTCTCTTTCGTATCTACCTCTCTCTCTCTTTCGTATCTACCTCTCTCTCTCTCTTTCGTATCTACCCCTCTCTCTCTTTCGTATTTACCTTTCTCTCTCTCTCGTCTCTTTCTCTTTCTCTCGTCTCTCTCTCTCCCCGTTATTAAAGCTTCCTCTTCCTCTTCCTCTTTCTCTCTCTTTCTCCTCCTCCTCCTCCTTCTTTCCGAAAGTGTAAGTGGAGAGTGAAGGGCCTACTTGAAGACAGAGTACTCAAAACAAGAGATTATCTTCAAAAAAAAATAATAAAAGCAAACACGCAAATAAACGGGAATATAAGGTTAATGATAAATAATAACAACCTTGATTCGGCAAACAATAACAACGACATTAACGACAACAATCATCAAATAAAAACAAGGTTAATGATAATGATGATAATAATGATGATGATGATGATAAGAACAATAATAAAAAACAATAACAACAACAACAAAAATAACAAAAATAATAATAACTACAACAATAACATAAACAAGCAAACAGAATCACATAAAACACAAACATAAAACCACATATTAACATGAACAGAAACTCTCCTTGCAGTGAACAGCAACACATGTTTTCTTTCATTCTTTCTCTTTCTTCTCCTTCTTCTCTTCTTCCTTTCATTAACCTTCTTCTCCCTTTCTCCCCCTCTCCTACTCCTCCCTCCATCTCCCTCTCCCTCTCCTTCCCTCCCTCTCCCTCTTCCTCTCCATCCCTCCTTCATCCTCCTTCCTATCCCTTCCTCCCTCCTTCTTTCCCTCTCCATCCCTCCCCCCTTCCTCATCCCCACCCTCTCCCTCCATCCCCCCCTCTCCCTCCCCTACCCCTTCCCCCCTTCCTCACCCCCTCCCTCCTCCCTCCCCGTCCATCCCTCCCCCCTGCCCCCCCTCCCCCCTCGTTCTCTAAGCGTAGAGTTTGTAAGTGAACAATTGCTGGTTAAGTGGCTGTACGAGATAACCGTGTCACGCCTACAACACGGCGATGACTTCTTATATTCTTGTATTCTTGGGTGTTTTTTTTTATTATCATTATTATTAGTCTTATCATTATCTTTGTACCTTTAAAAAAATGGGCTTCGTGTCTTTTTTTTTCTTTCTCTTTGTTCCCTTTTATCTTTTTTTTTAATCTTTTTTTTTTTTTTTTTTTTTTTGGGGGGGGGGGTCTATCATATTACGGTTCCTTCCCTTCCATCTTCTTTAAATTTGACTCTTCAATTTACTTCCTCCAGTTCACCATCATCATCATCACCATCACCACCACCATCATCATCATCACCATCACCACCACCATCATCATCATCATCATCACCACCATCATCATCAATCATCACCATCACCACCACCATCTCCTCCCCCACCTTCCCTCCCTCTCCCTCTCCCTCCTGCTTCCCTCCCCCCTCCCTCACTCCATCTCCCTCTCCCTCTCCCTCCTACCCCCCCCCCTGCTCCTCCTTGAAGGCCATCCTCCAACAAAGGGCGTGGACTCCCACCGAAGGCCGTGTGCATGAAATTCAGCCACCATAAACCAGCCACGTGTTGTGTGCATGTCTGCGTTGCTTGCTATTGCATTGCAACTGCATGCGGGTAAACCTCAGGAGAAAAAAATATATATTTACCTCTGCGTTCCTAAAACATCCGGTATAGAGAGAGAGAAAAAAAAACAGAAAACTCAAAACGAAAAAACTTTATTCTACTTATTCTAAAAAAAAAAAAAAAAAGAAAAAAAAAAAAAAAAAAAAAAAACTCAAAACGAAAACAAAAAAGATCTGTGTACCACATTTTTTTTTTTGGCAAACTATTTTCCTTGTTATATCGAGTTGAAACGATACACCGTCAAGACTTTTTTTTTTTGTCGGTGTCACTTACAAAAGGAAATACTAACGAAGCTTACGTACATCAACCAAAAAAAAAATAATAATAAAAAATAATAATAATAATAATAATAAGAGAAAAAAAAGAAAAAAAAAAAACATAAAAAGATAAAAACAATAATAGCCTTCTAAAAATACATACAAGGAAAAACAACGCAAGACAGTAAGATACACACACGCATCAAATGAAGCCATTACCTCCTCAACTTCATTACGTTGCGGGCTCTCTCCTCGCATAATATTAATAATAACCATCATTAAAAAACAACAACAACGGCTTCTTCTCCTCACAAAAGCACAAGCAAGCACAAACAAGCAAGAAAGCAAGCAAGCAATCGTCATGAGTCCCTCCGATGACAACAAGGAATGACTGTGTGTGCGGGAGATAGCGTTGGGTGCATACAGACTACGGGTGTGAGTGCGTGTATGGGGGGCAGGAGAGAGAGGGAAAAGGGAGGAGGGTGGGAGAGGAAGGGGAGAGGAAGGGGAGGGGAGAGGAAGAGGAGAGGAAGGGGAGAGGGAGAGAAGGGGGAGAGAAGGGGAAGAGGAGAGGAAAGGGAGAGGAGGGGGGAGAGGAAGAGGAGAGGAAGGGAAGGGGAGATGAAGGGGAAAGGAAGGGGAGAGGGAGAGAAGAGGAAGAGGAGAGGAAGAGGAGAGGAAGGGGAGAGGAAGGGGAGGGGGAGAGAAGGGGAAGAGGAGAGGAAGGGAAGAGGAAGGGGAGAGGAAGGGGAGGGGGAGAGGAGAGGAAGGGGAGGGGGAGAGGAGAGGAAAGGGAGGAGGGTGGGAGAGAAAGGGGAGAAGGTTAGGGGAAGGTCGGGAGAGGAAGGGGAGAGAAAGGGAGGAGGGTGGGAGAGGAAGGGGAGAGGAAAGGAAGAGGAAAAGGAGAGAAAGAAGAGGAGGATGAAGGTGAGAAAGAGGAAGAGAAGAAGAGGACAGAAGTCAAGAGCGAAAGGAAGGAGACTGGAAGAGGAAGAATAGAGGAAGAAGAGAGCAAGAGAAGAAGAAAAAAGGAAGAAAGGAAGAGAGGATGAGAAGACAAGAGCGAAAGGGAGGAGGTCGGGAGAGGAAGTGGAGAGAAAAAAGAGAATGAGGAGTGATGCAACATAATGAAGGGAGGAGAGCATGAATATATGCCTACAAAAATGCATAAACACACTTACAGAATATGTGGTTGGGCGAGCGAGCGAGAGAGAGATAACGAAAGAGGGAGAGGAAGGGAGGGAGGGAGGGGGAGGGAGAGAGACAGAAAGAAAGAGAGAGAGAGAGAGAGAGAGAGAGAGAGAGAGAGGGAGGGAGGGAGAGAGAGAGAGAGAGAGAGAGAGAGAGAGAGAGAGAGAGAGAGGGGGGGGGGGACTGAGGGAGAGGGAGAGGGAGGGGGAGGGAGGGAGGGAGGGAGGGAGGGAGAGAGAGAGAGAGAGAGGGAGAGAGAGAGAGAGAGAGAGGGAGAGAGAGAGAGAGAGAGAGAGAAATAGAGAGAGAGAGAGAGAGAGAGAGAGAGAGAGAGAGAGAGAGAGAGAGAGAGAGAAATAGAGAGAGAGAGAGAGAGAGAGAG